AACTAGTTTTATTAAGAAAGGACTTGTTGTCGCTTAAGTTTCGTCGGAACGAAGTTACGGAAAAATCAATTAACAAACGGAGACGTAACAGATCATAATATTTCACTGTTTTTATAATAAAGGTGTGGCTGTGTTATCAAGTATTTTTTGTTTCTCTTTTACAGATTATAAGAAAAAGAAAGATGAAAATATATCCTCTGATAAAAAAGATTTCTAATCTGTCCTTGTCAGAAGATCATGACTTTGTAACCATACTTCAGGAGCTTCACCAGTATCTTTCAGTGTGCTTCGTAGGTGATAATGCTTGTGAAAATTACAATGAAGAGACTAAAGAATTTTTCAGCTGCTACAAACAGCTGCTTGACATTCTTTTGGATTCTGTCAAAGCCAATTATTGTTTTGATAAGCAAAACAAAATTTTATTTGATGACTTTTTCTTGAAAGGAAATCCACACACATCGTTCTTAGTTTTAGTAAAATCATTAACTGAAACAAGGTAAGAAATCACATTTATAGTGAAAAACCTTTCTTAATGGTGCTGTTAACTTGAAAGTGAATTAAGAGTGAACTTAAGGATTATAATGTGTGTGTGTGTGTGTGTAACATATTTCAAATAAACGGACAGAGACTTTCATTTATTTCTATGAATGAGTTTTTATGTGTGGCTAGGCAGAAAGAACTAAACGTCAGTGACAGAAGGGAGTCAACTCCTGATGAGTCTCATTCTTTAAATGCAAAACTTATATCTAAAAATAATATTTGATTAAAAATTTAAGGCCAAGTAAAGTGTTTTTAATTCTGTAGTTCCAGTAACTCAAATGTACATTCCCTTGATATTAAAATGGGTACAATTAAGTACTAACTAAAATGGAATGTTAAAAGATACTTCAATTGTTCAGTGGAACAACTGTACATTTGAAAACAACAATACTGGATTTTTTTAGCTGTTTGAACTTTACTAGTACACAGTTTTTTTTGTATTCATTGTATGAGTTGGTTGTTATTCTTCTCAGTGTACATCATTTGATCACCTCATTTTTATTCAACTCATGAATTGATTGTGATTTCACCATTTACTCATTTTGTCCCGCATATCCTGCCAACTTTGTCACATCACATGACTTGTACACTCTTTGATTATGGAGGCTTATAATGTTTGTTTAGTTAGTTGGCAATGAGAAAGTGACAAATAATATATAATACACAATTCCAAAATTGTTAGGTTTTAAAACGTTGTAAAACATTTGGTGAGAAGAAAAAAAAATACTGATGTAGGAAGTAGTATTAGCCTTTTGTCTCAGTGCTGTGTACAAGCATAGAGAAACCCTTTTAATATTCTGTATCTGACATTCCTACCCCACAGCCACTTGTGGCAGATATAGATTATTGTATGGTTCCTGAAACACATTTTGGTCACTTCTGCTTGCATACGTGAGCCCTGTGTCTGTTGTTTAGGTCCAATAGAAATGTTCTTTCATATCTATGATGACAGCCACAATGCACATTTAAATGAATCTTCTAGACTGAGTAGTTTGCTGTGGTGCTAATAATAACACTTCTGCTCACTTGAATTATCTCTTAATTTTGGACTGGGGTATAGGTAAGTTAAAAGATGTTTTTAATTTTACAAGTTAGGGACAGCTAAGTCAGCCTGGAGATAAAGGGGGAAAGGAGAAGTGTAATATGTGTGCATGCCATGAATTTTTCACTACGTGAACTGCTGTGCAATTTTTCAAATTTACCCTCTTGGTTCACATGGTTTAACTGATTCACACATGCAAGTTATCACGGGACAAATGGCCACCAATAGACACGCCCTACCCACACGTGAATCATGTGACTCCCTATGTGTTATTCTACCTATCATTTCTCGTTTGTCTGGACTTGTGTTAAGACATTTTCTTTAGTGCTCTTTCAACTGAAATTTAAATTTTCATAGTGTTTGTTTCTGATTTACAACCTATAATTTCCATTTTAATATTTTGTAGTGGTATTATTTCACTTTTTTAAACCCAGTTACAGAAATTAATTAATTTCTGTGTTTATATTTCTTCACTAACACAGTTGTGTTTGGTTTATATTATGAACTCCAAAATATAGGTCACCATGTTGGAGGTTGTACCTGCTACCAGCACATTTACTTGGGCTTCAGGAGTGGATAACTAGACTTTAGAATTATAGGCAATTGATTGATCTTTATTTTAACCAGCCTTCTTCTCCTGATGTTGCCCAATTTACTTCTGAACAAGCTAAACCTGTTCGGGACAACAAAGCATTTGACAGCTTTTTTCCTCCGCACGAATTTGCTGTGTCTTCCCAAGCTACTACTATGGGTTCTGGTAGGCATAATATGGCTTTTTTGAACATGGTTATCCAGGTATGTTCTGTTTTATCCTTTTCCATGATTTCCAGTAATCCTCCACCTTCCTTGTTACATGATACTCTTTCCTCTCAGTATTTTATATTTCCACCCTCTCCTGATATTGGGGTTCATGCTGAGCATTTTGTATCTCAGTTATATAATGGCATGAGCATGCTTTGCCCTTTGCAGGCTGCAGATCAGTTTGTTTGGGAGTGCATCTTGATTGTCCTGTTCTTTTGTCCCAGTTTTCTTGCCTATGTCTAACCCTCACATCTGTCCTACAGCACTTGTCTACCATCTATCTTCTCTCTGATGCAATCCACTGAAATCCTGAGGGCTTCTCAGTAGATGTGTTTGCCCTACTTACCTCCTTGTTGGCATCTTTGTTGACTTTAGCTCTTTCTTTACATACATGGTTCCTCTGTTGTTGGAATCTTTTGTGAGAGACATGGCTTTGTCCCATGTTTGTTTACCATCTCCTTATCTTACTGATTTATGCCTCACTCTTCACTTTTCAGATGCTCTTCAAACGCTTTCGAAGGGTGCTTCTTTCTCTCCCTCCACCTATTCAATGTGGGATTCTAGCTGTGAGAGGAGGTAAGTTACTATATCAGAAGTTATGATTTTCCTATTCTGAAAATGTATTTCCAATAGGTACTTTCCCCTTCTCACACTTCCCACTCTTCATCACCACTAAAAACCAGTGTTTCCATTTTCTGCCAAAACTTCAAGTGATAGTTGGTAGAACTGAATAGAGGGAGTCACATGCATCAGGAGGATGTGTTTCACTCCTATTGGTGGAGGGTTGTCATGTGAGGATTTACATGCGACATGCAGTTGAACCATGTTGATCATGGAGTAAGTGAAAGCTCAAGGCTTGTGGCATTTAAAAAAAAATGTGCATATAGAGGGCAGCACTGAACAAGAATAGCTATATCTATGAGTGGAGGAAAGTTACTATCAGAAATGCATTTTCAGTATAGGAAAATTATAACTTCTAAAACAATTGCATTATAAGCATTTGTTTCAAAAGAATAACAATTTAGATGTAGAGTATTCTCTGCTTAAAAAGGATGCAGACTCTCACCTGTTTTCATGGAAGTCGTAGCTATTTCAGAAAGGACTCATCTTTGTAATTGGTCTGCACTGGCTCCTCCACCATTTTCAGTGTGAGAGTCAAGCACTTAGTGGTGCAGAGAGGTAAGTAGCATTTCTGAAGTTAACATTTTCTTTACCTAAAATATATTTCAAGTGGATAACTTTCTGTCTGCACCACCTCCCACTTGTGGTGCATTTTGTTTGCCTCATCAAGAATTAGCCTACGATCATGTGCTAGTGTTCACAGGGATTACTGCATGCAGAGGTTGTGTTGCCTTCCTATTGATGGAGAACTGTAGCACTATGATTATTACGTCATAGATTTGTGCAGTATATATAGACAAATGTAGGGGTGGGATTCTATTCAAGGCTTGTGGCATGCATAGGAAATTACATGGCAGATGCATGCGAGGTAATAGCTCTTAATGGTGTAGAGAGAGGTAAGTATTCATCTGAAATACATTTTCAGGTAAAGAAAATATTAACAATTCATATTTGTTTTTTGTTAGTCTCCTGAACAAATAGTCATAAAACTTGTTAATGGTGTGATTATTAATCAGAATAATCAAAGATTGGTCATTAGATGTGTTATTTTTGTATTCTTGTTTCTCAACCTCATTTTCAAGAAAACTGGAAGTTTATGTAATAGATCAAACATTATTAACCTTGTAATATAGATTGTTATAAAAGTTTACAAAGATCCTTATTAAATATTGCATAACTTAAAAGTTATACAAGTTTACTCTATATTTTCTTCTATAGGAAAAGTAGAATGAAAATTCAAAATAAAAAACAGACAGAGTTTTGAATGTTTAAAATTTGTTATAGAGAGTATGAAAGTGAAGATTAGTCTTTTATTTAAGATAATTTAATTTAAAAATTTTCCCACATGAAAGGATTAGTTTGCCCCTGAAAAAAGAAAGGTCCACCTTTCAAAAGTGCTCGGGTTATAGGGTATCATATTTTTGAGTTAAATTTCTTAAACCTACATGTTTTTCATAACATCACTAATACTTATACTTGTTATTCTTGCTTCCCCTAGTCCAAGTTATAAAATGGAGAAAATCTTGGAGTTATTGGAGAAATTTCTGAAGAGTGACAATCCTTACCATATTTTTATAACTAACTGTAAAGTGAATAACCAAAAGAAAGGAATGTTGTATACTCCAGTAACCTCTTTGTGGACTGATACTATCACTTACTTAGTATCTATTCCAGAAAGAGTTGCAAATAAGAAGAAACCAGAGATCAGGTGAGAAACAAGTACAAAATGTTTGATCAGCATAACCAAGCCATTTTGTAGATTGTTATAAATGTTTACAAAGATCATTATTAAACATTGTGTAACTGAAAAGTTATACAAGCTTACTATATACTTTCTCCTGTAGGAAAAATAGAGTGAAAACATGAATAAAAAGTACAGACTTATTAATTTGCAAAATAAGAAAGAGTTACATAAAGTTTTAAATTCAATAAGTCATTGATAGCACACATTAAAGGTAATAAAAAAATATTATAATTTTTAAATAACTGACAGAAAGTTTTCCATTTTAATATGCTTTCAATTCTGTAGCAAAGTATGCTAAGGTGTATTAAAGTATCTATTGGTTAATGATGTACTTGTTTTTCTTTTTAATTAGAAAAAGCCATTTTTGTTCTCGAATATTTATCTGACAGCACTTGAAAAAAAAAGAAGAGTTTTGCTTAATTTTTGAATAAAATTAACTTAATTATATATACATGCAAAAATATCAACAAAAGAGCTGTTTTTATTTTGATTGAAATACTTTCATAAGTAAATGTAAACTGACTTGTACTTTTGTTTACTGCAATAATTTAGATCTTACAAAGAGTATGAAAATGATGATTAGTCTTGTCTTTAAGTTAATTTCATTTTAAAATTTTACCACATGAAAGGATTTTAAAATGACTGAAACCTGTTCAAATATCTGTTTTTTAGCTTATTCACATTCCACGATTTTGCTTTGTTTCAATAAAAATGAATAAAAGCAAACAAACATTCTGTGATTGTTTGTATTTTTAATAAGGTTTATATCCACAATTCAGAATAGTGGTTAACATATAACTGTGTTACTATGCTTGTATTTACACATCATTTAAGGTAGAAAAAAACCCAAACAAGTATGACTAATTTGCAATGTTTTTATTTCAACTTATTGAAAAATTAAGAAAATATTGTTAACCTGATTATAATAGATGATTGATTGGTTCTTATTAACCGATCGTTGATCTTAGTACTTGAACAAAATCCTAATAATCTAATGCAACTTTGAGTTTTATCATTTATTTTTATCTTTGTACAAAGTATGCAACACATGTATGAAAACAGACTATAATTTCATTTAAAATAATATTATTTAAAAACAAATGATGTGGAATAATCAGTATTTCACCCATCTTCTTGTACTGGTTGTTACTGAGATTGTATGAGCATAGTATTTATTACAGTGTAAATGCTGTTATTTACCACTTAATAATTATCCAAATTTTTAATTGTTTAATACTTTATATATTTCAGTTCTGTTTTTACCTTGGAAAATTATGCACATCTTCTATCAGAAAACATGATTAGAACTCTTTGTAAAATATGTCGCAACATGCAGCACAATGAAGATGTTAATCTGGAATTCCTTAGCAGACTTCTTGGTCGACTTTGTGTAGCTGGGTATTCAGGTAGGCTTTTCAGTAACGTTGAAGTTGATTATAATGGTTTTAAATTTTACATGATATATGATATTATATAATGATTTCATAATTTGGTAGTTATGTTCAATGATAGCCAGCAAAAAAGCCAAAAGTTACTACAGAATGCAGGTTCATGACTGTTAAGCAAAGGAGAACAAAACAAGCAAATGCATGAGTAAATTGTAATAAAATTATTTGTTAAACAAGCACAGTGTTATGTCATGTAATCTGGCTGCCCTTTTTCTGTAGTCTTCTCGATCCTAGGTTCAATAAGAGCAAAATTAAAAGTCAAGAGCAAGAGGTAGAACAAAGGAAATACCTGGCTTACACACTGTAGTGAAATGAAGAAAGTCAGGTATCCTACAGGTTACAGATTTCATAAATGATCTACAATTAACAAATGGTACAATAACAAAACAAAATCAAGCAAGTATTCAGTGGTGTGTGTTGAATTGATAAAAGTAATGTGAGATCTTTAAAAGGTCTTATCAACTTGATGTGTCCCCTTAAGTTAAGCTAAAACCATAAATATTTTAAAAAATAACAAAGGTAACTTTAAACAAAGTAAACATAAAATGTAAATTCCAAGTTAAGCTTGTATTTTAGAACAAAGTTAAACCAACAATTAAACTACCCCAATTTAATCTAATTCAAATCACTCTCACCAAAATTTACAAGTTAAAGTAAAATCCACAAGCTTCTGCCAGCAAAAGATACTCTTACAAAAATTACAATATTTGCAAAGTTACTTTGAAAGTTAAAAAATTGTGTAAGTTGGTTAGTTTTTAAACATTAACAAAAATACCATATAAGTTAAAGGGAAAGTCATTCTTACAGGGGCAAACCTGTCTTTATATACCAAAACAAAATTTACAAACAAAGCCAAGTTTGCAGATGAAATGTACCTTACGTTAAAGATATGTGTGTACTGGCAGTTAAGCTCTAGGACATGACTGACCCTGACCTAATTTACCAACAGGAAAATAGCTTTCTATATTTGGACATCATGTGCTACCTTCCTTGCATGCTCTCAAAAACAGAGAAAGTTAGAGTTTAACTTGAGTGAACCTCAGCATCCAAACTCAGAACTCTGAAAAAAACCAATGATTTTGAAAAGAAATTTACATTTTAACAAAAGAAAAAGCAGGTACATAGTATCATTGTGTAATACATTTATAATGTCTTCATATTTTGTGAAGAAGGAAAACTAAGTCTGAGTAGTAAGAAATCACTTGTCTCAGCTTGCCCAGCAAATGTTCTTACCAATAACTTATTGTATTTGAATCGGTCAGGTCTTAGTCATTGGCTCATTAGGATAAAAACTGGCAGGAATTTCGAGCTATGCCACTTTAAAGCTTACAGCATATAAATATCACAGTCTTTTACTAATACTTGATAACTCTAGGTATTTAATATTGTTTTTTTTTCTCTTAGATAGTATATTGGGTCAAATAATACCACAGATGTTAAAGTTTTCTTCCCAAGACTTCATTTGGAGACGTGTCTGTTGTAGGCTAGTGGTGGGGGTACCTGGCCAGTGTTTAGAAGCTGTTGTGACACCTGTTCTGCTTCAACTTCCTTGGTAAGATAACTTAGTATTTATTAACACTCTATAGAGGTTAATGTGTAAAAAAATATCTTGAAAATCTTTAATATTGGTAACCATTATATAGGTTTATAAATATTTAAATTCACACTTATCTTAAGCAAGTCACAGGTGTTTCATTTACTTTTTTCTTTTCTTGTATTATAATGAATAATGAAGCTCAAGTAAGCAGAAGCCAGATTAAGTAGTAGAACAAAATGAATTACCTATGCATTATGTTCTTTATTAGTAAACAGTATATTCTATTTATCAAAAGCATAATCTTCTAAATGAAATTAATTTCATGGAATTGCTCTGTTATTAAAAGGACTTTTCACCTGAGCAACATATCAAATGTTAATCATAAATATGTTAGGGAAAAAAGTATACCCATGTTTCTTAACAGTGACTCAGAAGTTCGGACATCAACTACTTAAAGCTTAGACTGTGCTAAAAAATATGATTCTACATTTATGGAAAAAATAAATTAAACCTAAGTGCTGTATGTACAACAACAAACAAATTTGTTACATACAATACCTTTGATTTTTAAAAGTGACACATTTTGTTTTTTATTATTTCTACATAAGCTTGTAATAATGACTAAACTTTGTAAATGAAGTTTTGCTAGTATAGTATTATTGAATGTTTACAGTTACTACATACTAATGAAATACATCAGTTTGTCCCATAACATAAAATAACACACATTGGAACAGTTTTGGTTACAAAAATACTTGTTATTGTGTGAACACCTTTCTAAGCTGGTGAAACATGATTATAATTACTTATAATTATCATATAATATTAGTGTTAGGTACTTTTCCTGCATGTTTTGTCTATATCTCAGGGGTATAACTTGCAATGGTTATGCTTTCTTGTAATGCCAATCTCTGATTTTTGCATGTTGTGTAAAACAGATACTGACCATCTATTAGTTGAGTAGTTTCTTAGCATGCAGTGTAAGTAGTATCCACTCCAGTATTGGAACTTTGGCTGCTCTATTGTTGTCAGTTTCTGCTTTGTCATAAATGGTATAGTAATTTCAGGTGAAACTGATTTCCCTTAGAGCAGCGGGGTGTGGTCACAGAATAACAGGAGATTCAATAAGACTATTTATCACAAAGTAATTATGCATTCTCAGACTTTGACTGAGCTTGAGAAAGAAATGTACAAAAACATAATGTAACAATCTTAATTCACACTCACAAACAGTGAAAATAATGTGTGTATGGGATGAAGGACAGTACTTTTATTATATAGTTAAATTATTCTCTAAAATTCCACTAACAATTTATAGAGGTTTAATAAGAATTAGTTAATGTTTCACGTTAAACTTTAGGAGAGTATTATTATTTACAAATAGAGGTCTTAAACTTCACTTACTAAATTGAGGGCTTGAGCTTGAGAGAGAGAGAGAGAGTATTACATACCAAATTCTATAGTGCTATAGTCTCAAGATGTGTGCACCACTTATGTCACTGTTGGTCAACCCCATTGAAATGTAAGGGAGGTTATAACCTTAAGATATCATGTTATCTATTATTGTAGGTCTTAGATATCTACATTCTTACACAACATGTATCATTAACCCTGTGTGAATGGGTCAGTCTGAATTTACTGCGTGTATCATCATAAAATTTGACAAGCTTTTAGTAAAAATGAAACGTCTGCTGTATACAAAAAAAATCCTATTTTTTAATAAAGTATATTTTCTAAAGATTTGTCTGTGAATTTACTTAGTTAGTCGGATTTTGACTAGTCTGAGTACATGATGATTTTCATGTATAGAATAAAACTAATTTTTTCCTCATAAAGTTTGCATATTTAACTTACATAACTGATATTTTATATAATTGGTAATTTATATTTTAAGAATTCATTTTCATAGCTAATTGTTGATGTATTGCTAGTATTTTTAAAGATAAGAATAGTTTGATTTTTTTTACTCGTAGGTATGGTTATGTGGAATGGTTACTTGGAGAAAATGTCATTTCTAATGAAAAACTCAAGTTTCTTTTAACAACAAAACTTCTTCTGATTAGGCAGTTTCAGCAGGTGAGTATAACATTTTCTTGAATCTACAATAATTTGTTTGTTTACAAATAATAATTATAAGTACACCTCAGTTTGCTTTCTTTTTTTTTCATTATTCGTTATGTTAAAGCTTGAGATTGAACACTTTGAAAAGTTTTCCTCACCTCCCATTCTACAGCTCCTGATGCTTACCTGTGTAAAAATTGCATGAAACTGTGAAGAACCCTTTCAAGTCATTTTCAGTGTTGTTTCAAATGAACAAAACTGTTATCAACTTTGTACCCTAGTTCTTATAATATTGCACGTAGAAAGTCATCATTGTTTTTTCTTTTTTGGCTAATATAGATTTTATAAGTTAACTGATAGATATCGATGTCCTCAAAATATATTATAAATAACTTCAGATCAAAGCAAGTTTCCTACGTAGATCAGGACTTAAAATGAACTTTGTATGTAATGTAACTAATTTGTTATACTGATTTCATTAGGACTATGTATTGTCATAATACAGTCACTCATAGTAACTGGAATGCATTGATTCGTTAATTCAGTTCCCTTACAGATACAGATATTTTTAGCTCTAATCTCAATAATATCTCATGAAGTTTGGCCAGCTCATTATGTTTAGGTTTCTCCTTAATTAATATATTAAGTTAACAATGCCAAATAATTCTCACATGTAAAACAGAAAAATAAATAAATAGGTCCATATCTGTATGTATGTATATATATTATTTAGGAAAGCTAAAAAAAAAGAAAAAGAAAATACATCAAAGGAAGGATAGTATGAAATTTACTCGGGATATCCAAACCTTAGACAAAATTTAATTAATGTATTTCTGTGGAACAAAAGTGTATAAAAAAGACATGAAAAAAATATATCTCCACCACAATACAAACATCCAACACAAATTATAAGGTGGGTCCTTATGTAATGTGCCCTGATTTTTTGAGGTAATGGTGGAATTAAGACCCCAATTACATTGGGGGTAAACTATATGTTTAGTTTAACATCAACTTCACCGGCCTCACATGCTTAAGAAAAAAAATGAAGCAGATGTGGGTGCTCTAGCCCATCACATTCCACATCTTAACCACCTTTCACTGTCTGTAGCCAAATGTGGGAAGGTGGTTGCTCATAAAGATAAAATAAAATGAAAAAATAATATTAAACGGGAAGAAATAATAGAATACAAGACAGAAAAACTGTCCTTGAAATTATCATTGCAGCCTCCAATATGATGTTTGGATATAAATATCAAGAGGTTAAGGTATTACTATACTAAAACCAAGCAAAATTATTAGTATAGTTCACATCCTCTGCCCTTTTGTTGCTACTATATGGATCTTCAATAGTTGAGAAGCACTAATCTAGCCCACTGGTGATTACTGCTTCTTAAGCATAGTAGCATTTTCCACAGCATTAACTAGTGGGAGCCCTGATAGGTAATAGTTGTAATACAGGTCATCCTTTTGTACTTTAAATAAACATCATGTCCACCCACTGTATGCCATAAGTAGTCATGGTAGCAGCAGTGATGACATTGGCAAGCACAGTTCAAACAATAGTCTCAGTAGGGGATGTAAAGCACTGTCTGATGTCAGTGTTCCACAATCCCTTAAAGGACCTGCAATAGCTGCTCCCGCATGTCGAACCGTACATCCCGTTGAACATCCTTATTAAATTTTCTTAAAAAAAAGGAAATAGTTTAATACTTTACTATAATGAAGTTGTAGCTCATACCTGTGTTACATTTTGAATATGTATAGCTTCTCTATTGTTCAACCCAAAATTACCTAAATCTAATTGGATATCAAGAGCCAGTTATCCAAAATGCAATGTCAACCAAAAAAATAATATTTGTCCCATCCCTGTATATATATATATATATATATAATACACATAAAAATGTTAACCAATACCATAAATGAAACTGTTTCTAAAGAAAGAGTGGAATATACTTCACTTCCAAAAGACATAAAACTTGTAGTTTGCAATAAGCGCTGGCTCTGATTCTGTATATCTAGAAAAGCATGTTCACTGAATTTTGAGCTTCATTTATTGCATCTTCCACAGTGGAAAACATTTCTTTATAATTGTCAAGCTTACAACTCTGAGCTGACTTCAGAAAAGGATCTGGCACTCTTACTTGCATCCATAGCTTCTTTACAATAGTGGACACATTAATTTCAGTTGTTCATTTCCATTTTTCACACAGAGCTAAACAGAATTCATTAATTGACTGCTACACATAAGTTGACAGCATTACTAAAATTACATTGTACTTTTCTGTTGGTACAACCTCTGTGCTCTGTTCCAGACAAAGGAAAATATTGACTTTTCTAATGTGGTACATTTTGTGTAGCATAGCACCATCTCTCTCTCTCTCCAGCTCTTTCTGCACAGTTGAAACTAGTTCAAGCTTTTTTTCTAGAAAAACAAGATTAGAGTAGTTTTGGAAATACTTCAGGCAAGAACTTTTTTTTTGCTTAGTAACATACTTTGACATTGTTTTAGTTGCTGGACAATATTTCTTCACAAACTTTCCTAAAAGTCCATCAAAACAGCTTTTGAAAGTGCTTAAAAAAATCAGTGGATTGCACCCTGACCTTCTACCTAACCTGCATTTCCATTAAAGTTGGCTGCACTGTTGTAGAATTCCTCACATTTTTCACATTTTAGAAATATATGGTGTGCATATGGTTTCTTTTGTCTGTCAACTGATATTTTTAATTCACAATATCTGCATACAATAGCTGCTTCTTTAGGCCCAGTACAACAGGTACTTTGCAATTTCTGCTCATCTCTGTAGAATTGTACTTATTGTTATTAAGGGAACTATTATCAAGAAACCAAACTGAAAAATTACCAACTGACCCTTTACCTACTGCACTATTACACTGAACCAATGCTTAAATGTTTTTTTTCAATTTCTTTCAGGCTTTCAAATGTTTCTGTACTGTTTCTCAATCTCCTGCTGTTGGTTCCTTTCTCTGATTTCTCTGTTTCAATTCAATTTTATTATTTTGTAACTGAATTGCAGATACTAACAGCATAACAGAACATACGCAAAATCAAAACTTAACATTTTTACTCCATGCCTTTTTTACAAAGAGAAAAGACTGATGTGGCATATATACTGAAAATGTAACTGGGAAGAATAACACAAAGCTATATAAGATTTTCTTTGCTGTTAGAAAAAAATTTAACTGATTCGTAGTAACTTGATGATGCTGATTTTAAAAATCATGTTGAAAATTACTGATCACTTCTAATTTTCGAGTTATGTTAGAAGTACCTTATGCTGCTTTGATAGAGACCAAGTCAAAAATCAGATCATTTAGCTCTTCTTGTGTGATCAGATGAGTTTATATTGAGGTGCCCAGGAATACAATTACTAGATGAAGGGGATTCATTGACTTCTTCACAGGATAACTCTTTTGTTTCCCAATTTGCTGGTGGATGTGGCACTGGAAGACCATTCCCATGAATTACTGCTTTCAATGCAGATGCAATATCTGGATATTTAATGTATTGCTTAGTTGTGCCTGAATATCCAGAAACATTAGTCATGCAAAAATAACAGTCAGTTAGATGATCTTTGGGCTCATGCCATATCATGGAAATTGCAAGTGGCATACTTGTTCTCTTTTTATTTAGCCACTATGTCAAGCCAGATGTGCAAACTCTACAACACACATGTGAAGCTCATTGTTTTTCTTGGTTACCAAATTTAAACCTAAAATATTAATAGTAAACGATCTTTATTGTGTGTGTGTGTGTGTTTGTGATGTTTTTCCTTTGTGAAACTGTGATATATTTTCTACAAATTTAGCAGAAACTGTTTGGATGATTTTTGCACTTTCAGACTTTACTTGAACTAAAGGCAGCCAGCATTTCAAATGGTTTTTCTAAAAAATATGAAATAATTATGTTTACAGGACTAGAATTTAAAAGATTTTAAAAACAAGGTTGTGCAGAATTTGATTATATTGCGAGTATGATGTAAGGAAGAATACTTTATTTTGACTGTGAGCAGAGAGAGGAGAAGTGACTAACTGAGTGAGTGAGAGGCAACTGAGAGAAAGGTATCTGAGTATGCTCAGTTGAAGGACTTCTCAAATGTTGTAGCAAACTGAGCACGTGAGGGTTTCATGATTCCTGGGAAGAGTAGCTGAGCATGGGAATGAAGCTAAGGTGGTGCAACTTGCTACAATTATATCGAGAACAAATAGTATATATGAACAATATAGTTGGAATTTTACACCAATACAATACAACCAATGTTTGAAGTTATCACAAATGTATGCCTTCTACCCATTAAACTGTCCAGGTAAACTTAATTTCAAAACATAAATTTACTGTACTGAATTTATTGCATGGTATTTCACATAGTACTGATAAAATATTGAGAAATTACAATAACTTAAAATCTAGAAGTGATGGACAAATTCTGTCTACATTTTTGAAGTCAGCACAATCAATTTACTTCAAATTACATGATTTTTCTCCAGTAACGAATTTTTTTATTGTTCAGTGTAATTGTAAATTTGAAATGAGAATCCACATTTTTCTAAAAGGTAAGTAAATTTATGTTTATTGATTCTGTCTCTTTACTGTTGTGTTAAATCATAGAAAACTGCTCATGCATTTATTTATTTACAGTCTTCTGTCTACTTGGGGTGTTTTGGGTTTAACCTGAATACAGAAAAATACATTTGGTGGACAAAATTGTGTAAAACTCAAAAATAAGAACCTATGTATATAGGGAGCTGTAAGTTATTAACAGTTACTAAAGTATAATAACTTGGTACTGTACTGTATAGGGAGCTTTAAGCTATTAACAAATACTAAAGTAATTAATGACTCAGTACTATACTATACTATGGGAGGAGCTTAAAGCTATTAACAGATACTAAAATAATTAATGACTCAGTACTATACTATGGGAGGAGCTTAAAGCTATTAACAGATACTAAAGTAACTAAACAAATGACTCGGTACTATACTATGTGGGGGAGCTTAAAGCTATTAACAGATACTAAAGTAACTAAACAAATGATTCGGTATTATACTGTATAGGAAGCTGTTTGTTATTAACAGATACTAAAGTAACTAAACAAATGATTCGGTATTATACTGTATTGGGAGCTGTTTGTTATTAACAGATATTAAAGTAACTAAACAAATGATTCGGTATTATACTGTATTGGGAGCTGTTTGTTATTAACAGATATTAAAGTAACTAAA